AGGAAACCATTTAGATTGCAAATGCATTAACATAGCAAAGCCATGTAAAATATTACCACCGACTTTGTGAAAATTCCAGATGAGTGAAGAAAACATTTACATATTAATTAATCTTGTCACATAGTATAAGAAACATTATAATAATTAATCTAGATATTTCCTAAGCCACCGACTTAGCTTACCTAACCCACATGTTTACCTATAAATATGTGTGTGTGATGTATCATTTTATGTGTGCAATGAATAATAAATGTGTGCTGAGTGTGTGATCAAATAAAAGAAAACAAATGAGTGAGTTGTTAGTGGCATGTGTGCAATGAGTGAATTGTAAGAGTGTTAGTGTATTATAATAATACTGAGTGTATTTGAGCGTGAGAGAAATTATAATAAAATAATTAGTGTGTATTTTTTGTCTTGATAAGTGAAGTGTTTGTTTTGGTCTATATTGTGTTTTGTTTTGTGTAATTACTTTGTTAATATAATAAAGTAATTACGTTAGTATCCACGTGTTGTGAGTGTACCCAACTTAACAGTAGTATCAGAGCCAAGCTAGTTACGTCTGGCATTAGTTGAGGTACGAGTTGTGTTGTCGAGCTTCTTGGTCGTAGTTTTGCAGTTTCGTACTGCAAAGTTCGTGTGCAGTTTAGTACTGCATAGTGTGTGGCAAGTTGATCGAGTGGAGCCACGATGGCAGACCTTCAAGTGGTCGGAGGTATCAAGAAGCTTAACAGTCAAAATTACAGCACGTGGTCGACGTACATGGAGTCATATTTACAAGGCCAAGAATTGTGGGAGATTGTGAGTGGTAGTGAGGTTACACAACCGGAGGACTCTACAACTTTTAAGAAAGGGAAGATTAAAGCAGGCAAGGCCATCTCCGCTATCAAGACCACCATCGAGGAAGAGATGCTAGAGCACATTAGAGATGCGAAGACACCGAAGGACGCATGGGACACGTTCGCGGGGTTATTCTCGAAGAAGAACGATGCGAGGTTGCAACTTTTGGATAACGAGCTACTATCCATCACGCAACGAGACAAGACGATAAACCAGTATTTTGCTAAGGTAAAGTCTCTTTGTCGTGAAATCTCTAATTTAGATTCCTATGCTGGTATGTCCGATTCTAGGATTAGGAGAATAATCATTCATGGATTGAGGCAAGAATATAGAAGTTTTATTGCTGCTGTGCAAGGTTGGCCAACATAACCTTCTCTCGTAGAGTTGGAAAATTTGCTAGCTGACTAAAAAGCGTTAGCTAAGCAAATGTTTCAAGCATCATCCAAGAATGATGAAGAAAAACTTTTTGTAAAGAATATCAAAGGTCGACACAATAAAAATTGTCATTGGAAGAAAAGATACGACAACGATGAAGATGAAGAGGAGAGGAGTGCTCATTTAGGGGGAGCACAAAAGAAAAAAAATTTGAGCGATCAACCTCGAGAAAGTAGAAGATTTGAAGGGAAATGTTATAACTATGGAAAGAAAGGCCACATAGCGAGGAATTGTTGGTCAAAGAAGAAGCCAGCAGAAGAAAATGCTGTGACATCGGATGAGGCACACAAAAGTGAAGATGGATGGAATCTTGAAGCACTGTCAGTCGTAATTGAAGAAGAAGAAATTGGTAAAGAAATCGATTTGGCTTTAACGGCAACGGTCGCTGAGCTTGTCAACTCAAATGATGAGTGGATAGATAACTCTGGAAGCTCAAGCGACGAAACAAAAGACATGAAGGAGTTATCAAATCTGGTCGAGTATAGTAAAGAGCGTACAGTTACAGTAGACAACTTAGTGCTGCCAATCTCCAACAGTGGTGAGAAAGAATCAGCTAAGGAAGATAGATAGAGTTAAAGACGAGCTAACAAGTCACGGGCAAGTCAACAAGCATTGGATAAGAGTAGAAGATCAACCAAGTGTCAAGAACTCACAAGCCCATAGATTAGCGAGAGTACGAGTACCGAGCCTAAAACACACGGGAAAAATATTTACAAGCTCTAACTTATGTGAAGATCCGTTTCTTGACGTAAGGTGGCCGAGGACAACGAAAGGACCATAAGTCGGTGTTGAGGGGGAGTGTAAAATATCACAACCGACTTTGTGAAGATTCCAGATGAGTGAAGAAAACATTTACATATTAATTAATCTTGTCACATAATATAAGAAACATTAAAATAATTAATCTAGATATTTCCTAAGCCACCGACTTAGCTTACCTAACCCACATGTTTGCCTATAAATATGTGTGTGATGTACCATTTTTGTGTGTGTAAGGAATAATAAATGTGTGCTGAGTGTGTAATCAAATAAAAAAAAAACAAAGGAGTGAGTTGTTAGTGGCGTGTGTGCAATGAGTGAATTGTAAGAGTGTTAGTGTATTATAATAATATTGAGTGTATTTGAGAGTGAGAGAGATTATAATAAAATAACTAGTGTGTATTTTTTGTCTTGATAAGTGAAGTATTTAATTTGGTCTATATTGTGTTTGTGTAATTCTTTGTTAATATAATAAGATAATTACATTAGTATCCACATGTTGTGAGTATACCCAACTTAACAAGCCATACTATTTCTTCAAAAAAATAAAAATAAAAAATCTTCTTTATTGATTCAGTAGAAAAATATACTTACGTGTCAATGACAAGTATTTGTGGTTTACACAAAATATTTATGATTTTACTGAACTGGCGGCTTTGCAGGTCAACCCAACCAATAAAGTGATGCTTCGAGGTGGTGGTACCGATGGAGCTAATTTTTCTATTTTTTTTTTTGTTTTTGTTTTCCTTTTTCTTTTCCCTATACTAAAAAAATGCAGATTCAAAATTTCTTATTGAATTTTTGTTTAAAGCATTTTATTTAATATTTATTTTAATGAAATATTAGATAAGATTGTTGGATATGAGTCAATTTTGAAATCGCGTTGTTTGGCATGAGAGGACTATCCGCATTCTATATCTGTCTAAAACATATTATTTAATATTATTAAATTAATTTATTTAATATTTAATTGTTTTATCCATGACATCAGTCTTTTCAAAAAAATTGAACAAACAAAAAAAAGGCAGGGGATTAATTACCTTTGACTTACAAAAAATTTATGGATGGACGTAAATATTTAACAATGTCGTTTCAAGTTCCTTAAACAATACTGTAACTATGTTGTTAAAATATAATTTATTTTATGGGTGACGTAAATATGTTGTTTAAAGTTCTCTAAAACAATTTTTTAAAAACTATGCTGTTTAAAGTTACTTAAATATTAATATATTTAAAGTATACTCATGTTGTAATATATTAAAGTCAAAAAAAATGTTGGAAGGCTTTTGAATTATCTAAATTAATTAATTTAAATATTTAATCCCATTAAATCTTCAATCCATTGAGTATTTTTACTAATCTCGTGAGCATGTTGTTTTGTTATTGTAATCAATTTATACACTATTTTATTAATAAATTATTTAATAATCTATATACAAGGAGGTCTTTAATAATATGTGATTGTTACTTTGCCGAATACTATTTTATTGTATAAGTCTGGCCGCTATTAGCTGGTTACGCGAGGTAAGACTAAACTACGGCTGCTTCGAGAGCACTCCCCCTGTGGACCAAGGTTAACAATCGCTGTCAGGAATCTCTTAAGATTGTGCACCACATGCATCACACGGGTTGTACTAGTGTAAGTCTTAATTTCAAAGCAAATTAAGTGCAAAAGAGACACAATTTAAATCCTAGTTGGAGATTAGATGTAAAATTGAGGCATATTTTGACATTCTCCCCAATATAATGGACCACCAACTATTAACAAAAATTAGCAATAAAAGTAAAAAATATTTTAGTCAATGCATTAAATAATCAGAACTAATAGTAAAAGTGAATATATTTTAGTAACACATTAACTTACAGCTCCCTGTACCAGCGGCGACGACCGTTTCAATGGTGAGGTGGAAAATGGTTTGGTGGAGACTATTTTGGTGGAGAACCGTTGAAAGAGTTTTCAAAACATTCTTTTTTTCAACCATTAAACAAGGTCACCTGGTGGATTAGCATCAGACCATGGAATAGCTAAAATTATTTGTCTAAATGCATCAAATTCTGGGTTGTGTGTGTGTGTGTGTGTGTGTTTTTTTGTCTATGGTATTTCCATGTTGTAGCTTGTATGTTTCAACGGATCTGGAAATGTTTTCATCTTATTGCACCAACATTCAGGAGATAATGATATTAGTTGATTAATAAACCTAACCAGACTAGTATGACCCTGAACCTCATATAGGATCAACCAAGAACTATCAAAGGAGAAAATCTCATATAGGATCAACCAAGAACTATCTAAGGAGAAAATCTTAAGACAACAGAGAGTATGATTTACTCACTAGCATGCATTTATCAAAGCCTAAATCATGATTGCCTAATCAGAAGTATGAAGTCCTAGAGGTATGCGAATTGATTAATGTGAATGAGCAACGAAAATAGCTAGTGGAAATGGGTTAGGTACTTGAAACCGGGTCGGATCTGTTGGAGCTGGTTCAAGTCTGAGCTAAAGGGCTCGGTTCTGAGATGAGGAGCTTGGTTTTGAGCTGAGGACCTCGAGTCTGGTCGGAGATGAGCTCTGGCGCGATGTGGCACGGAGCTGGGGTCGCTTGTGTTGCGGATATGGTCGGGGCGAGCTGGAAAAGGGTCGTCGGAGCTGGGAGCTTGACGGGACTCAAACAGTGGCGGTTTTGGCTCGCCGTAGGTGCTCGACGTGGAGGATGAAGCTCGACTGCGGCTTGAGGACGACGGTGTTGTAAGGACGCCAGAAACGAAAGGTGGTTCACTGTTGCCGGATCTGGGAGGGTTGCCGGAAAGGAGGCTCGACGGCGGCTGAGGTGAAACAGCTCGATGACGGCTTGACTGAGGTGGTGACGCGGGGCTGAGACCTGTGCGAGCTCGGGAGGAGTGAACGAGGCTGGTGGCGCGTGATGGCGGCGTGGAGGTGGCGCCGGTGGGGAGCTCGCCGTGGCTGCGCGAGGGCGGCGTGAAGAAGCTGAAACAGGGTCTGTGGTACTGAGCTTGGACGTGGTTTTTAGAGCTCGTGGTGGCGGGCTGCGTGGACTGCTCGCCAGCGAGAAGGTCGACGGGCGGCGACTCGCCGGAGCTGCGGGTAGGTGGCCGGATTTTTGGAAGGTGAAGGTGGAAGATGGTGGTGGTGGTGGCGGCGGCTAGAATTCTTGAAATGGAAAGAGATGGAGTAGTATATATACACATGTAATAACTAGGGTTTGGGAGGCCATTGGGCTTTGAAAATTGGGCCAAGCATTTAATCGACTTGGCCTCGAAATAACTTCGACTCGGCTCGGTATATAAATTCGACTTGGACTCGGAATATAATTCGACTACTCAAATTAAAAATGTGCCGACTAATTACAATAAAATGGACTTGGATTTAAAATATCTCGATTAAATAGTTGGGCCAAAATAAAAATAGCCCACTTAAATGGCTCGACAATTGGGCTGTTCGAAAATTAACTAAATTCTCAAATTTTCTAATACTCGATTAAAATTATAAAATCCAGACTTAGACTTGCTATTTTTATCTCTTTTCCGAGAAAAAAATTTGAATGTTTTCTCCATGGATTAGACTTATGACTTAATAAATTATGCGATTAATAATCAAAATTCTCGGCATAATTAATAATTTATTATTTCTGGAAAATAAAGTAGAGCAAAATATATAAATCTGGTTTGGGCTTACAATCTATCCTCCTTAAAACATTTACGTCCCCATAAATGACAAAACTAAAGCTTAAGTTCATCTCGACTATAAACTAGAACCTGAATAATACAAAGTACAAAAGTACTAATCACAAATGAAAATCTGGATATCTAGCTTGAATATGACCTTCCTCTTACTAGTGATCTTGGCTTTGTCATGGCAACTCGGGCTTCCATCCCAAGCAAATTCGGACTAGCGACTCTTATTTCAAGCTTCCGTAATTTACCTGGCTTTTGACTATTATACACCGTTAAGTCAAGTCTGAGAACTGAGTGTTTCTATCTGGACACTGTATAGGTCTGTTCCGGTTATCGATCGGTCTCGCTAATACTGGTTGGCCATGACGGTTCGCCAAAATTCACTATGTGCCTTAGATAAACTACAAGACAAAACATTTAGAAATCATACTTAGGCACCTCAAAAGAATCTCATCAATTCTCTTAGCGGTATCGCCCTAGCTATGGCGATACTCTTGACTTAGAGACACCTGCTTCTGGGCTCTCTAACTAGTGTATCCTCCGCCACAAGGTGGCCGTAGGTACTATCTCACGTGTCAACACAGATCAACGTGAGACGCATCTAAGTTTTTTCACGAGTTCGAGCTCGAGCACAACTTCTAAAACTCGAGGCGTGGAGAAATCGCTAAACATTTCCTGAAAATTTCGGCAGCAAAGCCCAAAACGTTAGGCTTAGCTCACCATCTCTGCTATAAGCATAAAAATGGTTGGGGTAACTATGTTGTAGTTTCTTTGTGGATGTGACCCTCAGGTCACCTTACCGTACACACTGGTCTTAGGGTCTTTCTGTGGCTGGCCTGTATGCGACTTTCGTCGCTTCAAGGTGGTATTAATCTTTGTGTGGATCATTGATTTCTACTCATTTGTCTATCGGTCTACTATTGTCTGAAAAACATTCACTCGCTATCTCTTTTTTGTATGTAAGCGGTCCACACACGTGTCCGTACTAAAACGTACGGTGTCATGTCTATCCTCTTCTATTAACTGCTTTAGTGGCAAATCGTTATTCTAAATAGATCTATCATTCTGAATGCAAGCCTTTAAGCGTTCGGATTATATTTCCTAATTATCCATCAATC